GCAAGCTTCAATGCAAATGAATCAACTGGTCAACCTCCGATCTCAGGCACTATTTCGTCACAGAAAATGGAAGTCTGAGAATGTTGCTGTATCCATGGGAACTACTATTTTTGAATAAGCAAAGCCGTCTTTTTCTGTCATTTTTACATCTGTAGTCGCACTCTACCGGTATCACTGATACCGGGAACGCACCACAACGTGCAACGCACGCAATTTATCATAGTTATGGATCCAAATTGTAGGGCTGTAACGAAACAAGCACATTTTTTATATTTACCAAAAGACACCGGCACGGTCAGTCTGACCTCCACCTCCCACATCTGGTGAACCAAAATCGGAGTGGAAGGACAGACCCATCAAATAATTCACGAATTTTCACAAGTTCAAATACTGCTTGTATTTTATACTGTACGATACGATAGTTACTATTTGTACTCAAAAGTCGGTAGCAGAATCGAAGCTTTTTAAAAACACTTGAAGACAAAGTAAAAGAGCTGTTGGCTCGACTAGATACGATTTGACTGTACATATACTATATCTAATATGATTTTGGTGCTGCCTGGTACCGGTACACTGGTCCCTCCGTCTTTGCAATGTGTCCACACCAATCAGTGTGGGGAATATGAATAATATTGAACTAGACAAGAGAGCAAAACCTGAAAAGCAACAAAGCAGTTGCCGCCTTGTAAAATGATTGCATGTTGCAGATTGAAAAGCAGGTGCTGCCAACAAGGGACGAAGGTGGCTGAAGGAAGCCAATGAGCCATTCAAACAAGACTATTGAACCATCTCTGAATCATCTGTGTGGTGGTGATGATGCAGAGCCAAGTATTTTTTGCGTCAAATAAAGCAGACACTACATACACTGCTGTATCAATAGTAGTAGCAGATCCAGGTGATGACGATTTAAGGCAAAACAGTGTTGGTGTCAGCATACGCACACAAAACATAGGTTGAATGGAGGATATATTCCGAAAAAACAAAAATACAAAAACAACACGCATCTCCGGGTCCTCAAAACATCACTTTCGGTACTTCGCCTACACGATTTTTCTGTAGCGAAACGAAACTCGCTCCTCCTTTTTGCATCGAAACTGACAATGGGAAAGTCGAAGAACAACAAGAAAGTGGCAATCGCTGCTAAACCTGTTAATTCTACTGCTCTTACTCAGGGTCGCATCAGTTTTTCGCAAAAAAGCCGAGCCGAAACCGCCGAAA